CCCAAAGACCAGACTAAAAGTCAAAATGGAGTCACCCCTGCTAAATTCCATGTCACAAAGCCTAAACCAAGTTTTGGTCTGACAAGAAATCAGGAGAGAGTATAGCCAGTTTCCTAAACAAGCCAGTTTAAATGTTCAGTAAACATGATAATGAAGTTCCCTTTGCTTTAATCCTTAAACAAAAAGGATAGCCTAAGTAACTTCACGTTAAATAAGGAGTTATTTTTCCATTGTTCTGTCTTGGTGTCCGCACCTTATAAGGAAAATAACTTTGAAATGACCAATCCGCTTTTTGGTTTTTGTTTCAGCTTTCTTCAGCATTTTCTATAAAACCAACCTCCTCTGCTTGGCTCATTGGAACACATTCTACTTTATGGAATCACAATAAAGGTAACTGACATCTTTAAATTTGTTGCAATTTTGTCCTCTGACAGAAGATATTTTGTAGATGTGGTTAACATCTACAATCACTTGACTTTAAGTAAAGAGATTACCCTTGATAATGTAAACCAATTCCTTAAAACCTGTCTCTTACTGGTGGTTTCTCTGGAGAAACCTCACTAATAGATAATAAATAACTAGATAAATATCTATAATAAATAGTGGGATAAGAAGCTTTAATCTTAGGTTTAAAAAAAGGCCTTTGGAAAATACATAAAAGAAAAAAAAGGCTTTTGGACTGCACAACTCCAGTAAGAATGAAAACACTGATGTATATTTCTGGATCAGTTTAAAACTCATCAGGAAGACTCTCAGACTCTACTCAGAGAACCACCAATTTGGTGCAGGTTTTACTGCTCATACTTAACCACAGATGGAAACATTTTAATCCACTTACCTGAAAGCAGTTCAGAATTATCCTCAACAGAGTTTTATTTTTAAAAACTATGCCCAGGGCCGGCCCGTGGCTCACTTGGGAGAGTGTGGTGCTGGTAACACCAAGGCCAAGGGTTCGGATCCCTTTATAGGGATGGCCGGTTTGCTCACTTCGGAGAGCGTCGCGCTAACAACACCAAGTCAAGGGTTAAGATCCCCTTACTGGTCATCTTTTTAAAAAAAATTTAAAAAATAAAAACTACACCCATTCTATGACTTAGAGCAGTTATATTAAACTCAGTTCAATGGAGATGTGGCTTTCTACCTTATAATATGTCCCGTTAGTACTTTGATCTCTTAGGCTCTCTCTCAACCTCTAGACATTTTTAGATAACTCTCCTGCCTCCAGCTCTGACCTCTTTACCCAAACCTACTCACCCAGTGCCTCTGGGATATTTCCATGTGGGTATCTCCCTACCAGATTGCTGCATATTTAACACACAGACCCATTCATGAGTTCTTCAGCTTCCTCCTGAGCCAAATTCCTTGCCCCTCTTTTTCATCGGGTTTTAAAACCTAGTTGTTATTTTTGACATTTTTTCTCCCTTGTATCCACCATATCCAATCTGATAACTAATTTCTTTGAATATTTCTTTAAAAGGTAAATCAGATTCCTTTTTAGTTCCATTCATATAGCTTCAACTTACCTACCCCCTCTTTCCCCAGCTCCCTGGTTATAGAAGATAAGGAAGAGGTAAGAAGACTTTAACCCCAAATGTAATTTTACAACTGATACAGCGGTATAAATAAAGTCCATTTAAGATAATAAAACATTAAAATGAAACTTCCTGAAGTCCACCAAAAGAAGAACTAAACTAGAAGTAAGGCTATCTAGGACATCTTGGAAAAGTCATAATGTACTTTTTGTGGCCCAGTTTTCTTCCAAAAGAAGTAGAGATAAATAATATCTGTTTATTGGGGGTTTACTTGTGGAATGACTGAAAAAAATAGAAAACATGTTTTGAGATTTTATTGGGGGCTATTTTTATATTTTAAATACCTATAAAAATTCCATTACTCACCCCATTTTACAAATGAGGAAACTGAGATTCAAAGAGATTAAGCACCTTGGTGGTCACACAGCTGACTAGTGGCAGAGCTGAATTTCAAATCCAGCTATTTGTAAGGCCCACAGTTCCTTCTGCATCACAATACCATTTATAAAGTGCTATCTACATATTCATTCAAGGTATTGTTGTCATTGTTAAGCTTGTTTGACTTGAAATAGGTTTACAAACAGAAATCAGCATAAACAACCTAGTTCAACAAATTTGGAAACCTGGCTTCAATATAGGATAATGAAATAGGTTTTGTTTGCATTTCCTCATTTTCCAACTTAAGTTCAATGGAAAAGAGAAATTCATTTAGAATGCACAAATGGTGTTAATGTTCAACAATCTCCGGTGCAGAAGGGACTCTGGTGAACATTTATAAAATGGAAGGGGCCCAAGTAAGTTTGCCAAAAGGAGGAATATGGAAATTCTGCCCACAGACAGAACAATGGACATAGATTTGTCAAAACAAAGAACAGTAAAGTGAGGGAAGGCAATTTGTCCAGCCCTTGTTATGCTATTTTATGACTATTTTTCCAATTGCTGACTTCCTAATCACTTTAACAAAGAAAAAGATTAAACAAAACATTTAACATTTTGCAAATGTATATTATCCTTTAATAGAAGAAAAACACTGTAAATGTTAAGATAGTGTTCAAAATCCAAACCAGGGAAACAATCTCCAGTCAGATAATTATAATAGCAAAGCTGCCCATTCAAGTTCTACAAAAAGAAACTTCAAGACTCCATGCCCACTGCTCATCTTTGGCACAACTTTAATGCTAATATAGATTAAATTTAAATATAATTATCCTTAGGTTATTATTGCCTTGAACTAACAATATATTTCATACCACTACACAACAGCAGCATCTTAGCTTCCATATTGGGCTCTGGATATTAGCTACATCTGGACAGCTGGAAAAACAACATTAGTAATCAGCAAGCAGGTAAATTTAAGCCTCGAGTTTAAAGTACAACACTGAAACAACAGGCCCTGAAAATACAGCCAAAAAATAATGTCCGGAGCACTCGCTGCACATTTTCCTCCCTGGCTCACTGATGGGCAGTCGTGAAAAACTGCTTCTCAGGTTCTAGGCTATAGGTGTCAAGGACCGCCTAAGTTCTTTTAAAAACCTTGTGTGCACTTGCATTTATAATATGGTACTTTTTTTCCCCCCCAGTAAGTCAAAAGCCTACAAACCAAGGCGGTATTGCCCTAATGCTTATATATATATAATAATACTATAGTTAGACTGCCGGGCAGAGGGACATTAAGTGGGCTTCCGCTCCCGATCTGTGCGCGCGCACACACACAGTCACACACACACACACACACACACACACAGTCACACACACGCACCCATGCATCCACGAAAAAATCTCCTAAGTAAACAGAGAACACAAATTCGCAGATACAACTTCCGCTACCAGTTAATCAAGCACACGTTAAGGACGTGCCAACTTTATACGGAAACTTTTGAAAACCTTCTTAGAAACTACCACGGCTTTGCACTAACAGCGAGTTTTAGTTAAATAGTACGTGATTTTTAAGAAAGATGTTTTAATCTATACTTTCTATCAGTTTGTGGAGGCGGTGCGTAAAGCAGGTAGTCTGCATCCTCCTGTCACTTTGTGGTTGGCTTTTAAACGGCTGCATTCACGGGCTTGGTGCTAACGTTCCAGCCCCCAACCCCACCCTAGGTTGCTAAATTCTAACGACTGCAGTGTCACTCGGGCGCTCCCGTTTGACTTGACGATCTTTGAGGGGTCTGGGTGTCTGTGCTGGGAAAGGGACACGAGGGTGGGGGTGGATGGACAGTTTGCACAGATCCTTGTTTGCTCAAGAGACAAGGCTGTGTGGGCGTTCTGGAACACGTGCACAGCTCCAGCAAAACAAAACCAACCCGGGTTCCTGGGGGAGAGGAAAGCGCAGCCCGTTCAACCGAGTTCAGCGGGATAACTGTGCTTTGCGGGAGCCCACTGCCTTGTGGCCGGGCGTTCGTTTCCTTCCGGTGCCCACACAGGTGCTTGTTCTCCGGCCAAGAGCAGCCTCCCCAGCTGGCGAGTCCTGGCTCTCGACGGGACCCGCGCCTGGATCCCTATCCCTGGAGCTCTGCATCTGGGTTTCGGGAGGAGGCAGCTCTAGGGGGCTGCAGGGCCCGCTTGCTTCTGCTCCCTCCTCCCGAGATCCCGTGTCCCCTTCCGACGGGTCCAGGTCTTTTTCTGCAGCAGTTTCCTAATGCGCGGGCTTCTGTTACCTCTCCGCCATCCGCCCCTCCCTTCCCCCTGCCCTGGGCTCCTCCAACATCTCCCTCCCAGGGGGATGGGGGCGCCAACCAACCTCCCCTAGCACTTACACGTGGCCACAACGGGTCCGCACAGGCTGGTGCAACACCTCAAGGCACACTGAACAGTCGAAGGACGTGACGGGCAGTTCGGAGTGCCCCCTGCGCACCAGGGTCCGCGGGGCAACAGAGGCGGACGCGGATTTGCCGCTATCGCTGCTGAGCACGGAGCCCATCGCTGCGCCTCTCGCCCAGACAGCTGCCAAGAGCTCAGTGCCTGCTGCCGGGTTGTTTTGTTGTCCTGCGGTGGAGGAAGGAAGTCCCGGCCCAGCTCTGATCGCCGCCTCCCAGCGCGCCTAGCTAGCGCAGCCTAGAAGCAGCCTCCGCCGCTGCGCCCAACCTCGGTCTGGGGCAGGCAGAGTGCGCGGCCGCGGGTCTGAAATTATCTTTCCGGAGCTGCCTGGGTTGGGGCGCGGAGGCGGAGGCGGCAGCCGCAACCCTGCACCGTGCAACGTGTTGCGCTCTTGGGAGGATTGAAACCTGAAACCACAACTGCAGAGAAGAGGACCTGCGCTGGCAGTGAACCTTCCGGGCTATGACACACAGCCTCAATTCCCCACTGCCGCAAGTTAAGGAAAGTGCAGGCCTGGTCGTGTTCTATGGGAATCAGAGAACATCCAATTGTAACGGAATGGTCCTTATCACTGTTGCAATCATAACAAACTATAAAGATGATCTGTGGCCGATGGAGCGTCTCCTAAGACAGCGCTAATCACTAGTTCGGTCATTTTATCAATACTCCATTAGTGGAGAGGTTACATGGGTTAGTGGAAAGAGCCCCAGAGATCCGGATTCGAATCCTAGCTTCAGGCCTCGGATTCTAATGCTAAATTCTATGACCCGCCAGTCTCCTCGCTTCAGGATTTCCTCTGCCGTTTGTACTCTCCCCATGCCGCCCATCCTTTCAACATGACCAAAGTGTTCGTAATCATTAATTCACGCATTTAAAGAAGGCTTTCTTAGTGCTCACTGCGTGCCAGACTTCGTTCTGGTGATGGGGACACAGTCCTCAACAAGCAAACAAAATCCCAGTTCTCACAGAACTTACCTTTGTTATTAAAAAAACAAAAACCTTTTATTTTGAGATAATTATAGATTCACATGTAGTTGTAGATACATAATCCACAATAATACACACATACAGTATATACATACACTAATACATATGAGTACATAATATTCCCATAAACTTCATCCAGTTTCCCCCAGACTTTACTTTTAATGAGAAAATATAAACAATCAACTAATAAATACATGAACAAGATCATTTCAGATGATAAGAGCCACAAAGAAGATAAAACAGTGTGGATGGGGGAAAGGATAAGAAGGTCAGAGAAGACTTCATGGATGAAATGACATTTGAGCAGAGTTATGAACAATGAAAAGGAGTCAGCCATGCAAAGATTTAGGAAAAAGCTTGATAAGCCCCGGGAAGAGTGAATGAGGCAGGAACAAAGAACAGAAAGAAAGTGGAGCATAGGTGGGCAGAAGGGTAGATGAAAGACAGCTACAGGGCTGGCTGGTTAGCTCAGTTGGTTAGCATTAAGGTCAGTAGGGGTTGGGGTGTTAAGGGACGCCCCAACCCCTACTGACCTTAACATTAGGGTGCCCTGTTACAACACAAAGGTCAGGAGTTCGGGTCCCCTTACCCGCAAGCCGCCAAAAAAAGAGAGAATCATTTGTATATTTATTTGTTTATTTTTGGCAGCTTGTGGCAAAAGGAGATCTGAACCCTTGACCTTGGTGTTATCTGTACCTCGTCATACCAAGTGAGCAAACCAGGCAGCTCATCATTTGTATCTTTAGAAGATAAACAAAAAACCTTCCCTCGATCCCACTTGTCCCTCAGCTCCTGCCCTGTGTCCTCTTTAAGGCCAGATCTCTTGATCTGATTCTCTGCCTTTTATGTCTCCATTTCTTAATTATCCACTCATCCAGTCTGGTCTGTGTCCTGAACCAACCACTCCATCTCCATTTGTCCAAAAATTGTTTCATCATCAGTGTCACTGGTGACCATCACTGTGGCTAATTCCAATAGATTCTTTTCAGTCCTTTCTTGCTTGATCTCACAGCTATACTTGTCAATGCTGACCACTTCCTCTTTCTAGAAATACTCTTTGGTTTCCCTTTTTTCTTTCTGGCTGTGCTTTCTTGGTCCTCTTTGCTGGCATCTCCTTCTCCACTGGCTGTGTGCTAGAGATCCTAGGGTTCTGTCTGAGGACCTTGAGGACCATTTTCATCCCTCTTGCATTCCCTAAAAATCTGTAAAATCACATAGATTCAGTCATTCTCTAGGTTCCAAAGACTTTCAAGTCTTTATCTCCACCCCAAGCCATTCAAATACCCAACTGCTTACTTGACGTGACCACTTGACATAGACAGCCTCAGCTCACTGTATCCAACAATGAACTCATTATATTAGCAATAACTTCCCACCTGCTCCTCCTCCAGTGGTTGATCTCTTTGTTAGCAAATGGCACTACAATTCACCTTGTAGCTCAGCCCACCTGGAAGTCATCCTTGATTTCTTCCTCTTTATCTTCATTGAATCAATCAGAATCACAATTCTGCCTCTAATATGTCTCTTGATAGTTCTTGAATTGGCTCATTTTTCTCTGTTTCAATGGCCAACACTTATTTAGTTATTTTTATTTTGGCAGCTGGCTGGTGTGGGAATCTGAACTCGTGACCTTGGTGTTATCAACACGCCATTCTAACCAACTGAGCTAACCAGTAGCCCCACTTATTTAAAATCATTTCATTCTTTTGTGTGACTTACTGCAATAGCTCCTAACTCCTCTACTTGTATACACTATTGCCACTCTCAGCTCTTTTTTGTTTGTTTGATTTTGGCAGCTGACTGGTACAGGGATCAGACCCTGGACCTTGGTGTTATCAGCACCACACTCTAACCAACTGAGCTAACCGGCCAGCCCATTTTAACCTTTTATACACATAGCAACTAAAGTGATCTTTTGAAAAGCAAACATCTTGTGTCACCTCATGCATAAACCCTGTGATGGCTATCCATAATCCTTAGGATTAAATTCCAAATCCTTAACATGATCTACAAAGTCCCACATGATCTGACTCTTTCAATAACTATAATTAGTTAAGATATCTTTGGTGGCAGGGAATAGAAATTCAAAGAAAAGTGTTGTAGTCAATAAGGATATTTATTATCTAATACGGTAAATTAGTTCTGAAGTAAGCAGTTCCAGGCTTGGCTCAGCAGCTGAATGATGTCCTTGAGGCCTCTGCCCCTTGCTCTCCCCAATGTGTCAATAGTGTCTCTTTCACGGCTGAAAGATGGTAGTGACAGCTCCGACAATGACATCTACACACCACAATCTCCAAAAAGAGAGGAAAGGATCAGATTTCCTCTTTGTAGCTAGCTCTCTCTTCTTTCTTATGGAAGGAAAGTTTCCTAGAGGCCTTTTTCTGCAGACTTCCCTTCATATCTCATTGGTCTAAATTGGGCCACATTATCATCTCTAAATCAGTTACTGGCCAAAGAGAATAAGAGTCCTCTGATTGGCTTAAACTCATGGATTATTCTGTAGGGCTTGGCACCTCAGCTATCTGAAATAACCTAAATAGGGTTCTTTTACCAAGAAAAAAAGGGACGAGGCAGTTGCATAGACCAACAGTAGGGTCTCTCAAAATAATCATGTTTGGCTTCATCCGCCATCACTTTCCCCTTTATTTTTCATGCTCCTAAATTTCTCTTCTTTTTTCTATTCCTTGAGCATGCTAAGTTGTCTCTGACCTTAGGGCCTTTACACATGTTTTTTGTTGTCTTTGGCCTTAACACTTCCTACCCAACAATTTAGAACTCTCAACTCAACTTTCTCCCACTCAAATTTCAGGTCTTAGTTTGTAAACCTTTCTCCACCACATTCATTTTATACTATTTCCTTGCTTCTTCCATAGCCTGCTGCATTTACCTTTCTATTTATCCTGCTGTGGCTTCCAAGGGCTAGAGATAATGGATGTAAAGTAGCTGGCATGTAGAAGGTGATTAATATATTTATATTTATATATGAACTTCAATAATAATCTGTCAAGGTAAATTTTATTATTTGTACACAACCACATGTATTGTATACTATCACTTACGTTTTTAAAAGATTATACATGTGCATACACATATGTGTGTATGTATTTGTGTGTGTGTGTATATACTATACACATATATACTGTTATATGCATATCAGTGTCTTTAAAAAGATACACAAGAAATGAGTAACTATGGTCGTCTCTAGGGAAGAGAACTGGTTGCTGGGGAACAGGAGTGAGAAGAAAGACTTACTGTATATCTTTTGCACACTTTGAAATTTGTACTATATGTACTGCCAAATCAAATATCAACAGATAAAAATCAATAATTTTAACACATATGTACTTTAACTCAACAATTCTACTCTTTGAACCAAAGTGTGGACAAACATGTATACAAGGAGGCATAAACAGGAATGTTCTTGGAAGCATTGTCTATAATACCAAAAATATACAACTAAAAATATTTCCATTCATAGAGGGATAATTAAATATATTACAGTATATACATAAAAAGGAATGCAATGCAGCAATTACAAAGAATGAGCAAACATTTCTTTTCTTTTTTGGCAGATGGCTGGTATGGGGATCTAAACCCTTGACCTTGGTGTTGCAACACCGTGCTCTAACTAGCTAAGCTAACTGGTCAGCCCTAAGAAAATGTTTTTTTTTTTTCCTTTTTGTCTTTTTTCGTGACCGGTAATGGGATCGCAACCCTCGGTGTCACGCCCACACCGCGCTCAACCAGTGAGCGGACCGGTCTCTATATGGGATCCGAACCCTTGGCGGGAGCGCCGCCACACTCCCAAGCGCAGCACTCTACCAAGTGCGCCACCAGGCAGGCCCACCTAAGAAAATGTTTTGATAGCACTTAACTGTGTATCACGTATTATTCTAAGCACTTTATATGTGTTCACTCATTTAATCCTCATAATAACCTTGCAAGATAGGTAACTAAGGGCTGAGCCTGTGGCGCACTCAGGAGAGTGCAGCGCTGGGAGCGCAGCAGCGCTCCCACCGCGGGTTTGGATCCTATATAGGGATGGCCGGTGCGCTCAGTGAGCGCAGTGCCGCTGGTCTCAAAAAGGACAAAAAAAAAAAAAGATAGGTAACTAATATTATCATTCTGATTTTCCAGAAAAACAGGTGCAGACCAGTTTAAAAGCTGCTTCAGGTCACGTTTATGGTAAAAATCAGAGCTGTGAGTTGAACCCAGAAAATCTGGCTTTTAATGTGAATGACCTTAACCACTCTGCAACATTAGCCCTCCTTTATTTGGGTTAGCTTGAAGGTTATCTCTAAGGCACTGTTAAGTAAAAAAGGATGCTATTAAGAATACAAAAATCAACATGATAAATTCTGTGGAGGATACTAACATTTATAAAACAAATGTATTTCACAGGGCCTAGCTTCCAAAGCCCTGTAGTTTCAGGTATGGCCTAACTTTTAAAATTACGTATAGAAGTATTAAGCTTGCAAAAGACAAGAAACTTTCCCCAGGCTAAAGTCTC